AGTAAGCATGACTAAGCAAGCTAGTGATGAGTTGTTAAGGCTAAAAGTGTGTTGGCAAGTCTAGCAAGCATGACTAAGCAAGCTAGTGATGAGTTATTAAGGCTAGAAGTGTATGAGTTGGCAAGACTATTGATTACAAGACAAGTTAGGAAGCATGACAAGGAGTACTAGAAGCATGAGTTGTAAAGATTCTCTTATCCTTATTGGTGAGGTGTCAAACTCTCATAAGAGTACAATCTTTAGAGCAAGAAGAACAAGTAATTAATGCAATGAATTTATCTATAAATAGGGGTTTAAGGGTCGCTATTTATGCATACCAAAAACTAAGAAATCTCTCTATATTTACCTAATTAAGCTCGAAGAAAGGAATCAAAGGAAAAGTAGGCAAATCAAGGTGAGTACTTATGTGATTTATGAGATACAGGTATGCTATATATAGAAGTATTTTATGCATTACAAGATATGTTGGCATGCTATGTTTTACATGAAAATATTGATACACATACATATTCAAGATATGCATGATGACAAGTTTAAATACAAGTATACACACAAGACATGAAAATCATTTACATGTTATCATATGTGTTACACAAGGCATGAAATTTTTTACATGTTATGTATAACCATAATATCCAACGTACGGGATATTACAAGAAGGAACGTCTTGCAAACGGATCTTATAGGGCAGCCTTTTATGGACCCGGGGGTTAGCAAACCTCAAGACAAGTATGGTATACATGCATGTGACAAGTGAGATCTCAAAAGAATGTTTTATACATGATAAAGAATATAGTATTTTAWGAATGTTTATGCATGASAATAAAGAATATTTTTATACATGATCAAGAGCTTTTATAAATTATCATTTACAAAATATCATGAAAATTTCTCATTCATGAAACTATAAATACTCACTAAGCTTATAGCTTATATATCTCATGTATGTATCTCAAGAAGGAAGTAAGAAGGATTTGCATAAAGTATAATGCTTTTAGTTTTTAAAGCAAGTTTTGTTGTAATACAAATTACGGTTACGTTTATGCTAAGTAGTTTCTTCTTTGATGTAAATTCAAGATATGTACTAAATAAAGCTAAAGTTTCAAGTTCAGATTCAAGAGTTTAATAAAGTCTATCATGTAAAGTAACGGCACCCAAATTATATAAAGAAGTGGGGCGTTACATAAGGCCCGGTCCTTGTGCACCTCTAAGGACCTGTTAAGGGCCACACCACACCTGTCCCACGACCATCACTGCGAGTTAGCAGTAAGTGGCAGCGTCCATTTTTGAACACATGACATTCTTTTTGAATGTCGAATCGGGAAATAATATAACAACACAAAGTAACAAATCCCAAATAGACCTCATCATTCAGAATCATGATATTGAATATTTGGAATGAATCACAAAAGTTGTTTTGGCTTTGTGAGTAAAGACAACCAGGCCATCTCCAACCCACACCTCTAGAAAACACTAAAATGTTGGCCCATCCCCACGAAAACACAAAACACTTCCAACCACACACTAAAACACAAAACTCTAAAAGCCACTACACAATTTTTTAGAGGCCATGAATAGTAGGCCTTTAAATATAGATGTCTCCATACTACACAAAAAGATTTGGAATTTTAGTGGTGGGTTGGAGATGCACTTAGTCCTCTTGTACGACCGCAGACATAGCAAGGACATATGCTATATGCAAGCCCCACTATACGTATGTTAAGGGTCAGGCTCCAGGCTCTAACTTGATATTGTGGTAGACTGGCAACTCATGAAATCCCCAAATACCCCAACTACTTAGCTGCACCTTTTTTTGGTAAAGAAGTCCAATTTACATGTGAATAATTTTTATCGTGCTCTTGCTATCTCTGTCGTGTTCCTTTTCTAATTCTGTTAAAATGTGATCTCGGTTCTTGAAAGTGTTGGAGGAATTCAGCTGAGCAAGACATTTTTGTCATCATGTATATTGTAATGCCCCATTAGTTTCTTATGGAAGTTCCTTGACAAGTAGAGACCTAAACTTAGGGTTGGTGTTAATTGTAGCTCCAGCTACCTTTGGTGGAAAGATTACAACATGCTCTCTAATTGTTGGAATGAAAAATTATGCACAACTAGATTGACAACTTGAAAACAAATTTAAGTGCCTAAAACTAGGGGTGTTTGATCTTTGCTGTGGACCTAAAAATCGAAAACCAAACTAGAATTCAAATTTGAATTCAGTTTTTCGATCACGGTTTGGTTTGGATCCAAATCCGATCTAATGTTTTGTTTCTGGTTTGATTTTCTAGTTGGAAGTTTTCCATTTGTACCAAACTGAAAACCAGATTATATATATATAAATATAAATACTATATAATTATATATATATATATATATATATATTCTATTATGAAAATAATACTATACTTATGAAAACCTAATTCAAACCTAAAACTGAACCAAAAATACAAAATCCTGTCTCAATTGTTTGATGGTGAAATTCAAATTGAAAACCAATATACGAATTCTGTTTGGTTTTACAGATTACAAAGCGGGTTAAAAAGATTTAAACCAAACAAATCTAATCAGTTGAAATGAGGAAACCAAAATCCGAATCGATGAGCATCCCTAGTTAAAACAATAGGGGGAAATGATATTTTTTAAATATAAATAATGATGTGGAAACTGGAAGAAAGAAGATAGGAAGAATGAAAGGAAGATGGAAAAGAAACTTGGGAGATGAAAAGATATTAGGATAGGGAGCAAGGGATAATGAGTTTATGGCCCCAGCTATAAGGTGCTTAGTAAATTTGTCCTTTAAGCCTTACTTTTAGCCAGTTTTTGTGTGGGAGTCAGGTTATGTGTACCTTTAGTATTATTATGTACATTCTGCTACTCATCTGAAACTAGTAAATTACTTCAACCTATGGTGGTTTGCTTTCTGAAAGGACAGACTTTTTTCATCTTGTAATTTTACTTGATTTGCATGTTGTAACTGTAAGCATATGAATAATGCTTTGCTTTGTTGTGATTAGGCATCTGTCATCTCATGAACATAGATATTTTGGAAGGTGATAATTAAGCAGTTTTATGGAAAATATTCTTGTTAATGTCTTCATAACCGTAAGCTGATAATTAAGCAGTTTTTCTGTTGGTGGTCATTATCTCGGCCTTAAAGTATGTGTCAAATTGGATTTCTTATGTATAGAAGATAGACACAGACAGTAAGAGGAAGATTGGTGAGGTCTTAAGTGTAAATGAGATGGCTTTTATTAGAGGGTAATGTGGTTTGTTAAATCTTTATGTATTCTGGAATTTAACCGAGTAAAAGTAGCATGATTTTGACATGCAGGATTATCTTACCTTTTGTGCCTATTATTGTACCTTATTTTCTCACAACTATTTAGCTGCATCTAATCTAATTACTATATTTACCCTAGGGAGAGTTCCAGGTAGATGGAGGTCGATATTTTGACATGGATGCTTCTGGTCAGTGTATGATTGTAGCTCGAAGACTAAATGGGATGGGAGGAACAAATTTACTCACAAAAGTAAGTTTTGTGCCCTAGCATGAAGCTGCATTCATGGTGATTTTGCCATTTTTGACTATAAGACGAACCTTTTTACATAAAGTTTATGGTATTGTGCAGATAAGTTTGGTAGCTCCAAGTGACAGAGAAGATATTCAACTTCCTGCAAATTCAAAAGCTGTTAGGGCTGTTTGTGTTAGACCTTGTAGCAGGCTTGCACTGCTTGCTTGCTTGGGGAAGAAGTTGTCAGTTGTCAGGTGATAATGATTCTTTTCTCCATCTTGATCTAATAATTGTTTTTGACATCAATGTTTTCTCTTCCTGAACAAATATGTTTTGGTTTTTCTTGTGTTGGCCTCAGTACAGAAAGCAACAACACCATTCTTACCTATGATTTGCCGGTAACATTCTTGTCTTTTCYTTGCCAAATTGATAAATCAACATGGTGAGTGTTTGCATATTCTTCTACAAAGCAAACTTGTTACAGAAAGAGAGAAATGTGTGTCAAAATTAAAATGCATACAGACTAACTGCCATTGTCAACACAACTCCAAGCACTTAGGAGCTATGGATGATGGGTGTTAATGTTCACAAAAGGAGCTTGATATGATGCCTTATGGCATATACCTTTTTCCAAATTATTTCTTCTGCTAGATATACTCTAGTTTATTTCACGCTTGAATCACTCTTCTTTTGTTAACATCATAAAATTTTAGTAGCCATTAAAGATTTTTGTATTGCATTCTCCATTTTATTGTGATTTTCGTTTTTCTGCTTTCAGTGTTATAATTTCATTTATATCCATCTGCTGACTAACATATGGTCCATGGTTGTCCCATTTACTTTAGGCTCCTGCTTGGTCATGTTCATGGGATATTGACAGTTCACATTATGTTTACACAGGATTACAGGTACTTGTTATTTAAGTTTCCATTAAACAAGCTGGTTTTTTTTATTGCAGTTTATCATATCTTTCTGTACCTGCAGAATGGCATGGTTTTGGCTTTTGATATGCGTCAAACTCGAACACCCCTGGAATCCAGGTCTGGGTTGTCCTGCAACCCAGTTCACACTGTGATATCTGTTTCACCTGATTCATTGCTTTCCTCTGGTACAAGAACCCTTCTGACTGCCTCTCAAATTGGCATGTGTGAGTGGAACATCGGCACCAGTGAAGAAAGGTAGTATTGTTTTGACTTTTGATCCTTGTAAATATCCATCGTGCTGGAAAATGATATGTTGGGAAAGTGTTACATCTTAGATGTTTGGTTCACATAATGGAATTTGATGGAATTGGAATCCATCAAAGGAATTTGCCTTTGAAGGAATTTGACCACCGTTTGGTTGGTAGGAATTGGAATGAAATCTCTCAATAGAATAAGAACAATCGTCTTTGTTTGGACTATCCCACCCATCGCCCCGCCCACACCCTACCAACCACCATGTCACTACTGTCGTCGTCAAAACTATCACCCCTCCCTACCCCTACCCAAATCCCTCCCCACCCCTACCCAAACCCA